AGAAAAGAACTCTACCAAACCACAAATTGCTGATAAAGGTAATTGCTATACATTCCCAGAGGTGGGGAAAAGATGTCTAAATTGAATCTAACCCATAGGAAATTAGATTAAACTAAACTTCTTTCTAAAGGAGTTACTCTAGGGTACAGTTGTTCCCATCTTTGTCTATGTTTTGGAGGCCTCTTAGGAAGATGACACACACGAACACACACACACCCCAGAGAGAATTTTGTAGGCTGAAGAGAACAAAGGTTTGGCTCACTGAGGCTGATGCACATGGTTTCATTTCCTGGGGTGATGGTTATCACATGAAAGGCCTGCACTCCAAAGTAGACATTTTTGGTTTCACCTGAGACACTCAAAAACAATGGGTCCTGGAAAGGATCCAACATCTAAATCCTTCAGGGGCAATAGCAGTCTCAGCCAACTGTGCCTCAGTTTGTTTTTACGGGCACATAAAATGCTCAGTTGGAGAGAAGAACCTATCAAAGATGGCAAACAGAACAGGCAACTTGGGTATCTTGGAGAGCATGTTGTTACTAGGAATTTCCCAGTGTAAAAAAGGGGTTCTAAATTTCCACCTTAAACTATGAGATCCGACAATCCAACTCCAAGAAGGACAAAGTTGAAAGTAATATCTTCAGGTTTGCTAGAGACATTATGAGAAGGGACGAAACAAGATAGAGGATGTTAGGGAAGGCGCGGAAGGGTGATGTCATTTAAGTGTTTTACAAGGATCGGGGGTCATAACCATGAAATCCTCAGCACATGCAAAAGTCAACTGGATAACAAAGAAGCTTAATCATCTTAATGTGGCATTTTAATGATGCCACTGATTTGCTATGCCAATTCAGAGATAATGAGGCCCTAATGCTACAGATGTTCAGCCAGGCTAAAAGAAAGGTGGGGGATGGGCTTTTCTAGCATGCCATTTTCTAACTATCCAATTAAACAAATTGTGAAAGCATCTAAATAGTTTACCGGGTTTTGACAGCTGTTAATAGGATTTAGAAGCTTGAAGCACTAAAGAGCAAAATGGGAGATATATGTACTGTAGGTATTCCATCTACAAAGTTTGTTACTGTCACCCAATCTAGCGCAAACAGATTAACTAGAACAGTTTTCCTTATAAAATTAATATCTATACTTCTTTCCCACAATGACCTCTTTGTATTAGGAACAAGAACAGTGAAACGATGGGTCATTTTTGTTTTCTAATTTACATTTTTGTATGTAAAGTAATGAGAGAGAGAAACCGATGATATTTTGAGAACTAAAGAGTAAGGAAAGTTTTAATATTTGCTAACCAGTAAAATTATAAAGCTTCAATGCAAACTAAACTTTTGGTCATCGGTTTATAAAATCCATTATGTTTTCTTTTTTATCTTTTAAAATTGAAAATAATGAACATCTGTTAATTTTGAAAATGCCTATTTTTAAATTAGGAAAAAAGTGAAAAAGGTGAACCAGGCTAACAAGAGACGAAATACTGACATCTCAATACAGGTTTGGATAAAATTCTATAGGTTTAAGTTCTCACTGAAATATATTTTTGGCCAGGTGTGATAGCTCACATCTGTAACTCCAGCATTTCAAGAGGCAGAGGAGGGGGAATTGCTTGAGCCTAGGAGTTTGAGAACAGCCTAGGCAACAAAGTAAGACCCTGTCTCTACAAAAAATCAAAAAGTTAGCCAGGTGTGGTCACGTGTGCTTGTTGTCCCAGCTACACAGGAGGCTAAGGCAGGAGACTCCCTTGAACCCAGGAGGTCAAGTCTGCAGTAAGCTATGTTCATGCAACTGCAGTCCAGCCTGGAGTGAGACTCCCCGTCTCAAAAAAAAAAAAAAAAAAAAAATTAAAGTCATTGGACTTTAAAATTTGCCCTTAGAGAATCTAAACTATGGGAGGCCAAGGCAGTCAGATCGCTTGCGCTTAGGAGTTCGAGACCAGCTTGGGCAACATGGCAAAACCTTATCTCTACAAGAAACACAAAAAAAATTAGCCAAGAATGGTCGCACATGCCTGTGGTCCTCAAGAGGCTGAGGTGGGAGGATCACCTGAGCCTGGGGAGGTCCAGGCCGCAGTGAGCTGTGATCATGCCACTGCACTCCAGCCAGCCTGGGTGACAGAGTGACACCCATCTCAAAAAAAAAAAAAAATCTAAACTGGCTATCAGTAAATCACATCACTTCAAACACAAGATATTAGCATACAAAAAGTTTCCGTTTCAAAGGAACCACCCTCAATTTTACTAATAACATTAATCTTTGCCTTATCTATCAAACAGCTCATTCATGGGCATAATAATAATATTTAAAAAATAATAATTTCAGTGCAATTCTTTACTTCCCCATTAGAACAACAGGAGATTTACTACTTTTACAACAGAAAGACACTACACATCAGCAGTAGGTAAGGTTCCAGCTTCTCAGCTGGGCTAAGCTCTTCAAATGTCATGGGGCCAGGTATAATTCTTTATCCAGAATTGTGAGGACTGAAGGCCATGAAGTATGAAAGGTCTTTCTAAACTATAAAGAGTCTACAAATATATTATTTCATTTCTGCCCCTTATAACAATTACTTTTTCTATTATTTTCATCTACATATTAAACTCTTTTGTATTTATATTTTTGAGAAATAAGTTCTACCTATCAAAAAATAATGGATAAAAATACATTTTTTAAAGAGGTTGAAGTTTTGGATTTGCCTAAACAAAACATAGACTAAAGTATGCATCTGGTAGGAACTTCATTTATAAATCCAAAGGAAAAAAACTTCCTTTTCATTAAAAATTCCCTTGCATAGAATATTCACTCTTAAAAAAAAAAAAAAAAAAAAGCAGTGAAAAAGTTTAAAGGATGTTAAGATACAATTCTTAGTAGAATTTAAAAACTGTCACCCAAATACAATTAAATTGGCTAAAAAAACTTTCTGTCACAATACCAAACTCAGGGTCACAGGTAAAGGAAGGAATGAAAATGTCTTCTATATCTAGAGCATAAGTAGTTCTTGGTGTATACAGCATGTTTTGTGTTATATCACAGTTAGTGTATTTATTTCCCATATAGACTAGGAATATTTTCAAGGTGAGGAGCAGGTTTAAATAATATTTGTGTCGCCAGAACCTGACAAGGGCGGAGTTACTTTAGAAATTGAATGAATGGGCTGGGTGTGGTGGCTCATGCCTGTGATCCCAGCACTCCAGCACTTTGGGAGGCCAAGGTAGGCAGATCACTTGAGGCCAGGAGTTCAAGACCAGGCTGGCCAACATGGTGAAACTCCATCTCTACTAAAAATAGAAAACATTAGCTGGATGTGGTGGCACGTGCCTATAGTCCCAGCTATGCAGGAGGCTGAGACAGGAGAATTACTTGAACTCGGGAGGCAGAGGTTGCAGTGAGGCAAGATCACTCCCCTGTACTCCAGCCTGGACAACAGTGAGGCTCCGTCTCAAAAAAAAAAAAAAAGAAACTGAATAAATGAATGAACTTGGGCAGCCTGAACCAGTTTAGTGATAATAACCAGGCCAGGCAGAGAAGAAGTAGTAAATCACAACATAACCCTAAGTTGTCTATAGATTTCTGATGCTGTCATGCAGTATGTAGTTTCTCTTAATGCATCAGAATAAGGCCCATGCCCGACAGTGATAGCCAGTCCTCTAGTTGACTTCGTTGCCCACTGTGGTCTGGCTTCTGCCCTTCCTACTCCACCATTCTGCAATAGGATGACACTGGCCAGTCCCTGCTTTTTAAACCTCTTTCCTTAGCTTATTCTTTGCTGGTTCTACTCCTACCTCACTTATTTACTTATTCCCTCTATTTACTTCTCTTTCTCTGTCTCCTAGATGTGAATTATCTCCCGGGGCTTATTTCTCGAAACTTTTGCCTTTTCACTTTACATACTCTGTCTCCTGATGCGAGTTTTTATTGCTATTGACTCTCAAGGCCTGGGAAGCTGCAGACATATACTTCCTGACATATACAATCACTTCATGAATTTCCAACACTTATCTCACACTCAACAAGTTGCAAACAAGCTCATTATCTCTCCCATTTCTTCTCTCTTTCCAAATCTACTCTTCCTATAATATTCTCCGTTGTCCTCTCTGCATAGTGGCTGTTTGAAGTCAATGTCTGTATATTATTCTGCTTCTATCAACATTTAGCACTGTGCCTGAAACAGAGCTCAGTGACTACTTACTAAACAAGGAAGGAAGGAAGGAAAGTAAGAAGAAAGAAAGAAAAGCATGAACAACTATACTGCTATTTGCTTCAAATACAAAATTACGGTTGACAGTGTTTTAAAAAACTGCACAGATTGCAATTTTGCCTAAAGCTAGCATATTAGCCCAGGATAGAGGGAAACATTAAATTGTATTTCTAACTTAAGGTATAACAATCAGACCCAAAAGATATAAAGGGTTCTTGGACGAGAAGGAAATGAGTATAAGGATTAAGAATTAGAAGATTCTTGCTCTTTTTAGCATTAAATTAAAAAAATATATATATAAGAAAATAATTTAACATTTGCCATCTTCCTCCCTTCCTTCCTCCCTGGTTTTCAAATAATGGAATTAGAGCACTGAGAGATAATGGAAGAAACTCAGCACTGACTTCTCCTAGGTGAATATACGACATTGAAAGCACACAAGGGAATAAGCTATCTTGTCACTGGAACATGTTCATCCCTGGGGTGAAGTGTAACAACTGCTTAACAGCTGCCCAGTAACATACTTCAAGGCTGCAAGCAAAGATACATCCTAGCTTTACCAGAAACTGTGGAAGAAATATTGTCTGGCAGCATAAAACTAAAATGGAATCTGGCCAACTAAGAATCTATGTCCTTTCTATTTCACATGGCAAATTCTAATGAACCTGGAGAGGTTTCTGGTAACAATATTCAAGTAACATCAGATGGGTATCAGTAATTATAGGGAAAGGGCAATATGGTATTTAACTTATTTTTTCCACTGAAAGTAGAGTTGAATGCCTTTTTTTTTTTTAAGTTTCTGATAAAAGAACATGGGCTTTGGAGTAAGACAGAACCGAGGTTCAAGTTGTACTAACTAGCTGTGTGACCTCAGCAAGTTATTGGACTTCTGTGAATTTTCTCATTTGTGTTGCAATAATGATAATATCTATATCTAATAGGGCTGTTATAGTAATGAAACCAAGTAAAATAATATATATAAAGGCGTAACATAGTAGCTGACACATAATATGTTCATGACCTTGAGATAGGCAAAGACTTCTTAGCTATAACACTGAAAACATGATTCATAAATGAAAATATCCTACAACTCAATAATAAGACAAATAATCCAATTTTAAAATGCACAAAAGTAGTCTTTAGCTTTTCTAAGGTAATAAATAAAATTTTAAAAATGCACAAAAGATGTGAATTAACATTTCACCAAGGAAATTATATGAATGGACAACAGAACAATAAAAAGACACTCATTATCATCAGTCATTAGAGAAGTGTGAATTAAAACCATAATGAGATTCGACTTCACACCTGCTAGAATGGTTACTATGAAAAAGACACAATAAAGAGCATTGGCAAGGCTGTGAAGAAAATAGAAACCTTATCCATTGCTGGTGGGAGTGTAAAATGATACAGCCATTTGGAAAACAGTTTGGCAGTATGGTGGGCAGCCTTCTAAAACCGCCCCTAGCATTCACACCTTTGTATAATGTTCCCCTCCAGTGTGGGCTAGACCTGGGTGATTGCTTCTAATGAAAAAAACATGGAAAAGTGATGGAATGCATCCATTCTGTCTCTCTCTCTCTCTCTCTCTCTCGTGCTTCTTGCAAGCTTCTGGGATGAAGTAAGCTGAAGAACAATGAACTGAAGGCAGTGTCTGGCCAACCTCCAGTGAAGAAATGAGGCCTTCAGTCTAACAGTCTTCAGAAACTAAATCCTGACAACAACCACATGAGTGAGTTTGGAAGCTAGCTGATCCTTCCCTAGTCAAGTCTTTAGATGAGACCATAGTTCAGGTCAATATCTGGTTAGCAGCCTTGAAAGAGACTGAAGGAGAGGACCCAGATACGCTGTGCTTGCATTCCTGGGATAATATGTTTTAAGTTGCTAGAGTTTGGGGTCATTTGTCACACAGCGATCAATAACTAATATAGGGGCAGTTTCTTATAAAATTAAACATAAATTTACCATACAAGCCAATAATTCTATTCCTAGGTATCTGCTCAAAAGCAGTGAAAACCTATGTCCACATAAATACTTGTACATAAAATGTTCATAGAAGTAAAAATGCAAACAATTTAATGTCCATCAAACAGTGAATTGATAATCAAAATGTACCATATAAATACAATTGTATTCTTTTTTTTTTTTGAGACAGAGTCTGACTCTGTTGCCTAGGCTGGAGTGCAGTGGCATGATCATGGCTCACTAGGCAGCCTCGACGTCCTGGGCTCAAGCAATCCTCCCACCTCAGCCTCCTGAGTAGCTGGTACTATTTTTTAATTTTTTTTTTTTTTTGTAGAGACGGGGCCTCTCTCCGTTGTCAGCTACTCCAGAGGCTGAGGTGAGAAGATCACTTGAACCCAGAAGTTTGAGATCAGCCTGGGCAACATAGTGAGATCCCATTTCAAAAATTTTAAGAAAAAATCAAAGAAACAAACTACTGATACATGCAGCAACATAGGTGAACTTCAAAAACTTGATGCTAGGTAAAAGAAGCCAGAAACAAAATATTACATATTGTATTATTCCATTTATATGAAATGCCCAGAAACAGTAACTCTTTAGAGACAGAAGTAAGATTAGTGGTTGCCTGAGGCTGCAGGCAGGAATGGGATCAACTACAAACAGGTCCAAAGGGTTTTTTAGGGTGATGGAAATGTTCTAAAATGTGGTGGTAGTTGTACAACTCTGTAAATTTTCTAGAAAAGTCATTGAATTGAACACTTAAAGGTACATAAATTATAAGCACATTAAAGCTGTTTTAAAAAGAAATCTATACAGATAAACAAAACAAAATAAAATTGATAGCTCTGATACTGACTCTGTCCCAAAAAGAGAATGTTTAGCTACCCATTCACCAACGATTACAAGAAGCATCGTGATTAAGTATAGTTTTCAAGCTATGATTACTTCCATATGACATATGCTCAGAAGACTATCTTTAACTCCTTTTGTTCCTGTGCTACTGATTTCATTCCCTTTCAACAAAATTAACAAGATTTAGCTCATTGAAAAACACAAGGGGTACCTGCTACTTGACAGTAGGAAAGGAGGATTAAAAAATTCAAGTATAGGAGAGTTGGCCTGATTGGACATTTCCCATACTTAGTTATTTTATTATCAATTTCAGACAAATACGTAACTACTGATTTTTGCTTTTTCTAAATTGGGCTAAAATCCATAAGGATCCAGATACATAAGAATGTATTACTTCTTTGTCATATTTTGTGCTTTTATGGACCATACTGTCCCACCTTCTATTCTGTTAATAATTTAGTATGTTTTACTAGGCTGTGATTATTAATTAGTTAATGAGCACTATCTCTGAACTGCAAAGCAGCAGTGGTATAAATGCATCTGGGGAAGTTCTCTGAGGGTTCATTCAGGAAGGTGAGGTGTCTCATAAGACAAAATAAGAAAATAAAGAATTATCTTTTTTATATGATCTCATAGAGAGAATGAACTAGTACAACCTGAAGGACTAGAACCAGAAAATCAAGCTGATGGTAAATAAGGAATAGGTCATATAAAAATGCCAGAGAGAGTTCTGGGCTCCAAGTAAAGAAGAGAGGTAATAATGGACCATTAAATGTTGTTTGTTCAAATGTCGGTGGATGGGAGGTATTACCACAGCCTAGACTGACTTAAAAGAAGTTAACAAAGAGCCTTTCCTATTTTCTCTAGGGCTGCTATGAACTTACTTGAGGAGTAAGAAAGGGTAACAAGGTACTGGCTGAGATTTCTGCTTCTGTAGACGCAGGTGCAGAAAAGCCTGGTTCTAACACATCTTGTCAATGTCTTTAATGCCACCAGACTGATGAATATAGTGAAATATCTATCATGATCCCATTTTTACTTATTCAGTTGACATAATTAGCAAATCTATTAAGGGTAAGGTCACAAATTATTTTTGAATATTAAACCGTGGCTCTCCATATGTTACTGTTTAGACAGCATCACCCACTGCAGAATATATTTTTCAGGACTGTCATTTCTGCAACCTCAAATCTAGATCCAAATGCAGTCAGTTAAAGCAGATTTCAACCAGGCAGCTAAATGAGAAAACATCTGGACCTACCAGTCAAAATGAGAAAGGTCACATGTTAAATCCAGATAATCTTGTTTATTGGTGTTTGAAGGTTATACACCAAGGGCTGGATTACCAGGGTCCTCCTTTAGGCCTAGTACTGACATCTTCATTCACCTGCTGTGTGTGTGTCACTTTAAAATCCAAAGCTTTGAACGTATTGTGTTATTAGTTACCTCAAATGTAATTTTCCTAATTCTGAGCCTGAATACTACGTCAACCTATTGCTAGACTGCTGATTAGATCCCAGGAGAAACCACAGGACAGAACTGTCAGGGGCAGATGATGTCTATTCTTTTAAAAACTGTTTTCCAAATTTCCATTCAGCATTTTTCTATGGATGAAGCAACTGTAATTTTCTCCCTCAAAATTAAGAAAAAGAAAAGGCCTTTGAATAAGCAAGGAATAAAATTAAAAGATTGATGTAGGATTTAGGGATAATGAGGACGAAAGGTGGATTGTATCTATTACATTATTTTTTATAATTAGTGTTCTTTTGTATACAAACAACTGAACCAAAATTTTTGTTGGAAGCAACTCCACATACCAATGCATATAAAACTATTAAGAAAACAGCAACGTCAAGTGTCTTAAGACTTCACATGCTTTGGTCAGGTCTTTTTAATCTTTTCTAGGTTATGAACATCTTTGAGAACTGTACTCTTTGCCTAGAAAAAGGTACACCTACCCATAAACACAAAATTTCACATACTATTGATCGGTTTCTCAAACCCTGAGATCTCAGCTTTAAGAATCTCTGCCTTTGACCTTTAGATAGGCTCGGGCTTACAGACACCTCTGTGCTACATTTTGTATACTTCATATAATAGTGGTAGGTATTTTTCTAATGTTTTGCTCCAGCACCCTTGAAAGAATTTTGAAAAATTATATAACTCTCTTATGCATAGCAGACAATAAGTGCATACTAGGTTGATAACTATAATTTTTCATCATGAGTTTAAATATTTTAAAATGAAAGCATACAGTTCGTGTGTTGTAAATAATGATAGTTTAAACTGTTACCACACCCTTTCAAATGTATCTACTTAGGAATATATACATATTTGTAATTTGATTTACTCCATCATAAATTTAAAAATACATAATAAGCTTTTCAAGAAAATCAGAAAATTTCTCTTTGAACTTCTATTTCCATTTCACTTCCCCCATGGAATTTTATCCTAATGTAGTACTCTTTATATGCTTGAGTCATCTATTGTTCAATCCATTATATGTATCTGCAGCAAAACAAAAAAAAAACCCAATAAAGTAATTTTGTTAACATAAAGTGCTATGTGTCAAAATGTGTTTTCTTCTGGGTTGAATTAGCATTACAATTATTAACATACAATGGAGTAAAACAATATAAGTATATTATAATTTTTGATCAATAATTACCAAATGCAAAAAGTAAAATTTGTTGGGAATGTGTCTCCTAATGAGAAGGATAGAGGGGAAATAATTCATGAAAGTCTGATAAAAGAAATTATCTAACTGATCTATTGTTTGGCATCCTGGACGTACTTACTCCTTAGAGATGGGTGAGAAATGTTCTTTTCTTTTACAAAGTGGAGAAGGAAGGCTGGGCATGGTGGCTCATACCTGTAACCTCAGCAATTTGGAAGACCAACGCAAGAAGATCACTTGAGCCCAGGTGTTCAAGACCAGCCTAGGCAACACAGTGAGACCAATCTACAAAAAATTAAAAAATTAGCAGGGCATGGTGGTGCGTGCCTGTAGTCCTAGTTACTCAGGAGGTTGAGGTTGCTTGAGCCCAAGAGGTCAAGGCTACAGTGAACTGTGATTATCCCACTGCACTCCAGCCTGGACAACAGAGCAACAACCTGTCAAAAGAAAAGAAAGAAGGGGAGGGGAGGGGAGGGGAGGGGAGGGGAGGGGAGGGGAGGGAAAGGAAAAGAAGGGGAGGGAAGGGAAAGGAAAGCAAAGGAAAGGAAAATAAAGGAAGGAGAGGGAGAGAGAAAGAAGGAAGGAAGGAAAGAAAGAAAGAGGAAGAAATAAAGCAAGCTAGTTCAATGGCAGCAGTCTTCTAGGCAGATCAGTTTTAGGAAGAGAGGAAGAGAATATACTGAAGTTGTGGACCTGGAAACTGATTCTCTTAAAATCATTTACTCCCATGCAATCCTTGGAAAGTTTTCCCAGCGTTTGAAGAACACTACTAAAATAAAAGACCCCATTGCCAAAATGTACTCACATGCTGTTCTTCACTTTAGTTAATGAGCCAATACTTACTTAGTGAGCACTTGTGAACATTGCAGGGGATAAATGGATAAATGGATGGTTCGATGGAAAGGCAGAAAGCAAAATGGATAAACACTGAGTGTTTACTATATTCCCAGAACTTTGGCATAAAAGAATACAACTATAAACTGTCCTTGCCATGTCTTTGGGACACAATCAAGTACACAATAAGACCCGGCCACAACACAGTGTGTACAAATTTGGATGTAACAGAATTGCTGATTGCCTCCAGTTGTCTACCCTTGCCCACTTCTCTGACAACAGCAAACTAAAGTTATTATGTTATGGGAATGGATAGGAAGTAACTGCCTCATGATCATTTGGGTCTTTTAAGGTTTAATGTATGGTCAATTGTGTCCAGTCTAAGCTTCACTGTCATTGATTTGTGCTTTTTGTTAACAGTATATACTAAAAAAAAAACCCTGCCAAAACCAAAAAAAAACCCATCTACTATATTTACTATATTTCATTTACTTGTAATAACGTGACCCCCCATATTTTACAAGATAAAATTTCTGGATCCCATCTACTATGTTGTGCAGAGAGCTCATGTACTCTTCTCATCTCTAACACTATTCTCTTTCATGCGAATTACAAAATAAAAACAAAAACAAAACAGAACACCCAAAACCCAAAATCCCTTTGGGCTGACAAATTACAAAAACAAAAAAAAAAAAGATAGTTCTCATGAGCCAGGACAGGATTTCGTTCAGTCTTCAGTCCAGTGGTGTGCTGGTAAATGCTTAACAACCAGCTCAGGATGGGGGAAAGGCTTATTGGTGGCATTTACTGATGTCAGTGGTATAAATACTCCACCATGGCCAATTTCAAGCTACCAACATGGAGTCAGCCAGCATGCAAAATTCCTGAAAATTTAACAAGCAACTATGAGCTGATTCTGGCATACCACTGGGACTCCTCATTTATCCCTCAGCAGGGTATCTTCCTGTAGCTATCAAACTGCACCAAGGTATACAATGACTCGGGTCACCATGCCTGGTGTCAAAGTTTATTTGAACAGCAGAATTCACTTGGCAAGAAAAGCTGCTATGAAAGTTAGCAGGTACATAAGGGTGTTTTATGCATTCTCTTAATCCAGCTGAAAGGAGGCACCGACACTACTGCTTCCAGGATAAAGAAAGCAAAAAGAAGGGAGAAAACTCTCCAGAGGATCCACTAAGGACAGTGGGCCGCCCAATTTTTCTGTTAACCATTGCAACTGCCTATGGCCCTTTTGCAGATGTCAAATATCTTCCTATACATTCCTTTTAGTTTGCTGTGCTAACAGCTTAGTTATGAAAAAACAAATCCAAAGATGTTTTCTGTTAAAAAGTTTCAAGGACCAGGCACAGGGGCTCATGCCTGTAAACCCAGCACTTTTGAGAAGCCAAGGCAGGAGGATCAATTGAGTCCAAAAGTTCCAGAGCAGCCTGGGCAACATAGTGAGACCCCATATCTACAGAAAAAAAAAAAAATTAGCCATGCGTGGTAGCATGCAACTGCAGTCACAGCTACTCTGGAGGCTGGGGTGGGAGGATCACTTGAGCCCAGGAGGTTGAAGCTGCAGTGAGCCGAGATCGTGCCACTGCACTCCAGCCTCAGTGACAGAGTGATTAAAAAAAAAAAGAGATTCAGGGAGCGATGTCTTGGTTTTATCACTAACAGAACTTACCCGTTGGACACAGCACAAGCTGAAAAGCTCTACCCATGGTAAGCACTTACAGAAATCCCCTGTGAGTGAACTTCTGCAGCAGAGCACTGCTGATTTTGTCAGATAACCCCTGCATCCCATGAGTGACAGGTCTTGATCTGGGCTTGAGAGATGTAATATTTTGATAAAAAACGGCACTTCCTTTTGAAGCATACATTTGCGTGTGCTGAGCAGTACCGCGGGAGCCTCAGCCAGTGCCTAGGCGAGGCTGACTCGGTCTCTCCCAGCTCGCTC